CCCGCCCCGGCAAGGACTGAGCGGCTTCCAGCTGCCAGCCACCCCCGAGTTCCCAGAGCATTCCCTGCGCATGCGCATGGAACGCTCTTTTACTTTTGGGGGGATTTAAATATCCCCCGTATGTTTTTTTCAACTTTTTAGATTTTTCTGCACACCTGGAGACGATCCCGCCCCGGCAAGGACTGAGCGGCTTCCAGCTGCCAGCCACCCCCGAGTTCCCAGAGCATTCCCTGCGCATGCGCATGGAACGCTCTTTTACTTTTGGGGGGATTTAAATATCCCCCGTATGTTTTTTTCAACTTTTTAGATTTTTCTGCACACCTGGAGACGACTTCATGTGTGCAGGAAAATCTCTTTGCCCCCCCAGGTGCCCCCGAAAGCACTGATGAGGGAGCATCCCCCACACTGTGATGTGTGGCTACAGCCAGTTGGAGGCCTGTGTGTTTTCTTTAGTGTCCTTTGTTTAGCCCGCGTCAACCCCCAGGTTCAGGGTGGGATGCAGCAGAAACGGCAGCTGATTTGCCGGCCCTCAAAAAGCCTCACAGAGTACACTGTTTTGATGCGGGGTCTTTGAGTTAGAAGGCCAGCCGAGCAGAAAACAATTAACAAAAAAAATCAGATTTCTTTGTAAGATTTATTTTTTTAAGAAATCACTTCACCGCCAGGCATGCCTGCAAAAACATTCCACGTCCCTCTTATATCCACCCCCAATGCCAAAAGCACCAATCTGCACCTGTTGAACTTTCTCTTGCACACAGTGATTACAAGAACAGGCGCTTCCTTGTCCGGGGCAGTAGCCCGATGACCCACCTTGGCCCCATCCTGCAACACAGAACTTAAAAAAAAAATAATACCATACACATCTCTCTTGCTGCTTTTCTGTTTCCTCCCCTGCTCGCTCTTGCTTTTCCCATATTTTCCCTCATCTCTTTTCCTTCAAAAGACACTTCACCCAACGAGTCAATTAAATGGGGCTCTTCGGGGCCTTTTTCTAGGGTGATGCACCGGAATGGAGTTCTGGAACCTCTTCGACAAGATTCTTTAAAAAACATTTAAAGGTTGAGTTCTCGGTGTACGGATTGAAAACTTCATTTCCCTCTTGATAGTTTCCCCAAAACAAACAAACAAACAAACAAAGCCCTGGTGCTCCTGCCATTGGTACAACCCACCTTGGAGGGCAGGAGGCGTGACCTAGCTGCCGTTCTCAAACCGTCGGAGGTCCACTCTTATCTGTTCGCCCTACAGCCAGGTCATTCCCACTGCCAGAAGGAGCAAACATTTGTATGGGGCTCACCGCTGCTTGGGATTACGGGTGACTTACAGAATGTCTCTGAGCCTGCCAAGATAAATCTTTCCCCTCGCGCTCAGACAAAACCAACCTGCGTCGATACACCTGAGAGAAGGCGGCGGGACATCTGGTTTTAAGGATGCGGCTTCCGGGAAGATCTGAGACCCAGCGACATTTTGCCCGTCTGCGTGGCAGATAACTTCTGGAGCTGGGCAAGGTGTGGGGTGGAAGTCTGCTTGCTAGGCAAAACCTCTGGCTTTCTGAACGCAATAAGGTGGGCGTCCTAGGTGTGCCGTGGCCGTTGTCATGCATCCCCCCCCCCCCGGGTTCTTCTGACGCATGTGCATGGATGCGTGCCTCACGCCGGGTAAAAGCATGGTCTCTGCTAAGCATTTGCACCTTGTGGATGCATGCGCATTTCACATCAGTTCATGTTTGCACACTGCATGCAATGCACATTGGCTCCTAAGGGGTGGGGTGGGCACAAGGCACACTTTTGCTCGAATGACCCAGGGTGGCGACAAGACACACACACCCCGCCCCTTCCCTGGACATGCTGGATAGCGCCTGAGCAGATGCACTGCGTGAGAAACTGAGAGATCCGACAGAAGGGAGCAAACTCCCGTTTTTTCCCAGAGGGGTAGGGAGAAGTTTAGGCTGCACTTTCCTCCTGTCCTCGTGACACTGCGCCGCCTGCCAGAGAGAAACTTGCAGTGTGGGAGAGGTTTAGGCTGCACTTTCCTCTTGTCCTCGTGACACTGCCAGAGAGAAACTTGCAGTGTGGGAGGAAGTAACCGTGGGCCGATACGGTGGCCGCCGGTGGGATCACGTTGTGACCGATCGGGGAGGGGAAGCTGAAACCGCCTGCCGGGAACGTCACAGTCTGAGCTGCCGGTGAAGGCGGGCCTGTGTACGAGACCCAGTTTTGTGGCACGGAGTCGGCATGGCGAGGTGCGTGTGGTGTGGGTGCGCGTGGCTCTTCTCTACCCCGCATGGCATGAGTTTTTCGCACATGACGGTTGTCATGCGCGTGTCGGTTGGCACTGGCGGAGTGGAGAACACTGTGGCATTCTGGGTGGAGAAAGGGACACCGGCCTGGGTAGCTGTGGGGTGGCTTGAGGCACCAATGGAGGAGAAAGGGCCCGGGAGGTCGGCAGACTATTCCTCAGGGAGGAGAGAGAGAAGAACGAACGATGTGACCGGACTGGGCCGAGAGAGACGCAGCCCTGAAGTGGAACGGACCACGGCAGTCTTGAAAAGCAGGCCAGGAAAGGAACAGTGGTTTTTTCCCAACCCTGGGACTCCTCGGAAATGTAGCTGGTGTCTCTCCGTGAGAAGATTGGCAATGGCAGACAGAGTTCCCTGACAGGCAGATGGCCTCTCTTGCCCTCGTGTGCTACGAGCTGTCAGAGGGGAGTCTGGCCTACGTCCTACAGACGCACTCTCAGTTTGCTGCGGATGCCGACTGGTTCTAGTTTCACGTGGACTCTAGAATAGGACCCGGAATCTTCTGCAGTGTGCGGGATATGAAAGGGAGGCTCTGGGCAGACAAATTCCAGAGGGAAAGGATGGCTTTCAAGCTACTTGGGCCTAAGGGAATCAATGCTCCCCCTAAGCTGTGGAGTCTTGTGAGCAAAAATTCTACTTTGTGAGCTAACTGGCATTAAAGTTGTGAGCAGGTGATTTGGCTACTGCAGAAATTAGTTTGCTCTGGAGCCCTCCTTCCTGAGCGAAGACAAAAATGTGTGAGCCAGAGGCTAAAAAACTGAGCTAGCTCCCACTAACTCAGCTTAGAGGGAACACTGAAGGGAATCCTTCCTGTGTCGATTTAACGGCTTGTTTATTTAAAACATTTATTCGCCGCCTTTCTTCCGTATACAGAGCTCAAGGCTGGCTTACGGATTTAAATAAAACACACAAAACAGAGTACAGAATACATAGAGCCAGAATTGAAAACCACAACTTGGCAGTGCTTGAATCAAAAGGCAGTCCTCAATAACACCATCTTCAGCTGCCTCCTAAAGATCGAAAGTGAGGGGGCCATACTCCCTCTAAGCCGTGGAGTCTTGTGAGCAAAAAATCCTCCTTTGTGAGCTGCCGGCATTAAAGTTGTGAGTGAGCCATTTGGCTTCCGCAAAAAATTGGTTTGCTCTGGAGCCGTCCCTTCCTGAGCTAAAACAAAAAAAAATGTGTGAGCCGGAGGCTAAAAAACTGTGAGTTAGCTCACACTAACTCAGCTTAGAGGGAACACTGGCGCCAGGTGCACCTCCCTGGGAAAGGTGCCCCGAAATCGTGGGGCTGCCACCGAAAAGTCCCTCTCTCTTGTACCTGCTGGATGGGCTTCTTTGATTGGTGGGACAGTCAGGAGGGCCCCCCCCCCCATGATCTTAATCCCTGGGCAGCTGAGGAACCTCTGGGTGTGCCTCCTATGGAATCCCAGCACACTGCAGCGTCCCGGTTAGAGTGTCACACTAGGATCTGGGAGACCCAGATTCGAATCCTCACTCGGCCGTGGACGCTTGCTGGTCGACGTTGGGCCAGCCACACCCTCCCAGCCTAACCTCACAGGGTTGGTGTGAGGATAAAATAGAATTATGCAGGCTGCCCTGAGCTCCTTGGAGAAAGGATGGGATGAGAAGGTACCGGAAAATACAAAATCTGGGCATGCTGTAGGCAGTGCTCCCTCTAAGATGTGGAATCTTAGCAAAAATTCTACTTTGTGAGCGGCTGGCATTAAAGTTGTGAGCGAGCGATTTGGCCGCTGCATCAATTAGTTTGCTCCGGAGCCATCCCTTCCTGAGCTAAGACGAAAATGTGTGAGCCGGGGGCTAAAAAACTGAGCTAGCACACACTAACCCAGCTTAGAGGGAACACTGGTTGTAGGGCGCAGCCTTGAATTGCGTCTGGTTCCAACCTGGCCTGTTGCGATTGGCCGTCGCCTTGAGCAAACTGAGAGCATATCCTAGAACGTGTCTGGCACTCCCTCTGCAGTCACAAACTGCCGCACACACCAACTTTCAGGGCAACGTGTCCGCCATTACTGACCTCCTCCCCGAGAAACACCCTATCCGCTTCTGGAGAATTCTGCGGTTCCTAGGAACACTGCTTAGGAGGAGCCATTGCCCTAGAAGATTTCAGGGCAGGAGGTTTTTCAGACAGGGAGCCGTCACGGCAAGTCCTTGGGTAGCGGCGGCAGCAGCAGGACGGAAGATTCTATTGCACGGTCCCAGGGAAGGTGGCAACGAGAAGACAGGGGGCCGGGGGGGGGGGGAGAGAAGGTCGCGACAAGACCCATTGCATAGTATGGCAGAGGGATGGGAGCAGACAGCAAAACAGAGGAAGGCTTCTGTTGCATAGTATGAATGGGAAAAGGAGGACACATACCAAAAAAAAAAGCGAAGATCCTATTGCATAGTCCAGATTGGGGGGAGGGGCGTGCCATTGCCCCAGGCACTGAGTAGTCGTGCACTTGCGCCAAGCGGGGGAGGCTCTAGCTCCGCCTCTTCACCGCCATGCCCTTCCCCCTCCCCGGGTCGCCCTTCTGCTCCTCCTCCTCCCCCTGCCCCATGCAGACGCCCCACAGAGCCCGAGAGAGGCGCTCCTTGCTGGGGACAAGCCAGGGCCCGGGGACCAGGTCTGAGCGTAGCTTCCGGCTCGGCCTGGGGGAGAGGAGCTTGCAGCTGTCTTCGCCGCCCTCCGCAGTCTTCCCGGGCTCCCGGTGCCTCCAGCCCCCCTCCCCCTCTTCTCTGTCTTCGTCCCCCTGGGCCTTGGCGGAGCCGTGGTGCTGCCGGTTCGGCTGCCGGGTTTTGGGGAGCTGCTGCCTGTTACTGGGCGATGCTTCCTGGCTGCCCCCGTCGCAGACATCCGGTCCCTGGCACGGCGGGGGCCCGAGCAGGTTGGATCTCCGGCGCCGCTGCCTGGCTTTGTCCTCTGCCTCCGGCGCCGGCTGCAGCTTGGTGGGACTCTGGCTGTACTCGTGGTCTAGGGAAAAGAAGGGTGGGCAGAACAAGAGGCATTAGGGCCCAGGCGCTATCAGGGGGGAAGCAGTGTCTGGGGTTCGTAAGGAAGTCCCTCCCAGCCCAGACTGCATCGTGCTTCAGCAAAGGGATGCTAGATTTAATTTTAAAACGCTGGCATTCTAGGGGAGACCAGAAGCATCAAGCTAGGGTGGGCAGGATTGGGCAGGTCAAGGGTGGGACCCGGAAGAATACGGGAGATCATGGGTGGGGCCAAGATGGAATCAGAAGGGTCGGGGTGGGTGGGGCCTGGCAGAAGCTGGAGTCTGCTGGCTTCTTGGAGCCCAGCAGGGCTATCACCTGGGCCTGGAGCCGGAAAGAATGCCACGGAAGAAGTTGGCGGAATGGAAAAATAAATTTCGGAAAAAAAGAAATTAAAAAAAGAAGTTGGCGTATTTCCCCCCCCACCTCCCCCTGCCTTAAGCAGCCTGCCGTTTGCCCTGAAAGTCCTCTGGACGGCCAGGAGAGCCTCTGAAACAAAATGCGCCACGGGGCGGACGCTGTAGCAGCAAGGCGGGGGGACGGATCGGGTAAGGGGGGGGGTTTCCTTTCCCATCTTCTAGTGCGGTTTGCATCACCATCACCATTCTCCTCCCCGGTCACGGCAGCACCCCACGGCCTTGTGCTATTCGTTGGCGAGGCTTTCCTGACGTCCCCCAAGAGGGCTTTCAGCTCGGGGGGTGGGGGGGAGGAAGGAAGGCAGGGAGACAGCTGTTCTGCCAGCAGCTTCCGTTCACATTTCGGCCGGATCCAACCCGCACCCTTATTATTTTGTCCCATAAAACGTTCCCTAATTGGCACTCCGACCTCTGGAGGTTATTCATGCCAGGGAATCTCCCCCACCCCCGTCTGAATTCCCCCTATGATTCCCTGCCTGTGATCCCACAGGGGAATGGGCAGCTTTCTGGGCTTCAGATCAGTCACGCTTTGGTCCCCAGAGCGGATCACGTCCCTAGGGGGCCTCTGCAAGACGTTTCTACCACGGAAGGAATCCAGTGCCTGGTTCTGCTCTAAGAGTGTCATTGTTATGTACGTGGACCGCCTCCAGGGGTTGGATCCGAAAACAAAGGAAACTTTGGATCCTGGATTTCCCCAGCCCCAGCCAATAGCCACCTTGGCGGGACATTTAAACCCTCCAATGGGAGTGGGGGGGGTGGCTGGTGGATATGTATATAGTTGGCCCTGTTGGCCGTGGGAGTTAGTCTTTGTCTATGCGAAGTACAATAAACGTGTGCTACAGCATGTCGTTGTCCGAGTCCTCCATGCGGCGAACCCAGTACTTTTCAGTCATGATCTGTGTGCAGGACTGGGAGCAGGGCCTAGTGCGGCCTGGTCCCAGGAGAGACCTGCGTGGCAGTGAGCAGACAGCCTACCGTCCCCATGAGGCTTAGCAACGGGCTACAGCCAATCAGAGAGGGAGATTCTGTGAGGAGAGGGGCCTTAGCTGTTAGCTGGGGGAAATGGTGGTCTCAGACCCTCTCGCAGATCTCAGCTGGAGTGCGTGGCGAGGAGAGGATCCTTGCCGGCTCTCTGCGGCTTTCCCTCTCACGGAGTCACTGGGGGGGGGGAAGGCTGGTCTGAGAGGACAGGATGCCTCACTGGGGAAACAGAGTGAGCGCTAGGCAGGCTGTGGGCCTGGAAGTAAGACCAGGGAGCTGCCTTAGTTTACGTTTATTTTTTCCCTTTTCACACTGTTATACCCTTTTTTAAGCGCCTTGCCTGGCCTGGCCTCCCCTGCCCCCAGTGTTGTTTCAATAAACCCTTTCTGTTTAAAGATCCCCCCCCCCTCCGCCTGGGTCAACCACACCCATGTGTTCTCGGCTGTAAAGGGGCATTTGAAGGGGCTTCGGGAAGGTACTCCAGGCCTTCTTGAGGGACCATAAGCTATTTTTGGGCAGGATCGCACAGGAACGGAGTTCCGGCTGGCTTCAGGGTTGGCCACGCCTACTACAGCCAAAACCTCTGCATGTGCGTGGCTACAGAGGGAAGGCTTGGAGAGCGACACACACCCCCGGCGACTCCAAGGTGGGTGGCCCAGAGGGGGCCTGGAAGGATTGGGGAGGCATTTAAATGCCTCCCTGTGCCTTCCTCGGCCTGTCCAAGGGCCGGCTTGCTCGGGCTCCCTACAGCCATGGGGTGCCCGGGCAAGCCAAGGGAAGGCAGTTTAAACTGTTTTCCTTTCCCTTCCGGGGGGGGGGGCTTGCCCGGGTACCCCATGGCTGCGGGGAGCCAGGGCAAGCCAAGGGAAGGCATGGGGTGTGGCCTTATGTGCTAATGAGCTGTGCTGTTGGGTGTGGCCTATTATGCGAATAAGTTCCTGCTGGGCTTTTTCTACAAAAAAAGCACTGAAGTCCAGGGTGGTGGTGGCGGAAGGCAGAGACCCCCTGGGGTCATGACAAAGAGCATAGCCGCATTATCGATTTAAGGAAGTTCAACTGCCCGGGCTTCCCTCCGAGGAGCTCTGAGAGCGAAGTGTGCAAAGATGACCGTTCTCTTCTTTCTCTGCCCCCCCCAACCATGGGGGGGGAGAATAGTCTTATGGGTAAAGATCCTGTAAAGATCCCCACCACTGTCGCCTCTGCCAATGGGTACCTAGAGATGAAATAAGTTATGGTTTTTAACCTGTCGTGTCTGGGGGTGGGTGGGTCCCTGAGTCTGCCTTCCACTCAGACAGCCACATGTCAGCTGCAAAGGAACTCGGATCGCAAGCTGGTGGGGCCCGAATTCAGATCAGGGCCACGGCATGAGGGTAGGAGGGGCTTCAGTCACACGTGAACACAGATGAAGCTGCCCGATACTGAATCAGACCCCGCCCCCATCAAGGTCAGTATTGTCTACTCAGACTGGCAGCCGCTCTCCAGGGTCTCAGGTGGAGGTCTTTCACATCACCTCCTGCCTGATCTTTTAACTGGAGATGCCAGGGATTGAACCTGGGGACCTTCTGCATGCCTACCCGATGCTCTGCCTCGGATGATGGATAAAAAGGTCCTGGGGGGGGGGGAGATTTCCCCCCTTGTGCCATTTTTCCAGCCCAAAACGGCCCTGGAGGGCTGTTCTTTGCCTCTTGGCAAGAGGAGGAGATTGGACTTATACCCCACCCGTCACTACCCGAAGGAGTCTCAGGGTGGCTTACAATCTCCTTTCCCTTCCCCTCCCCACAACAGACACCCTGTGAGGTCGGTGGGGTTGAGAGAGCTCTTTCAAGGACTGCTCCTGAGAGAACAGCTCTGAGAGAACTTGTGACTGACCCAAGGTCACACCAGCAGCTGCATGTGGAGGAATGGGAAACCAAACCTGGTTCTCCCAGATTAGAGTTCGCGCTCCTAACCACGACACCAAACTGGAGGCCGCATTCATGGCTACATCAGTACATATGCAGTCCCCCCAAGAGGACAAAGGTCACCCCCTCCAGGGCCATTCTGGGTTGGGAAAACGGCACAAGCCTGAAACCGCTCCTATTCCCGCGCCGTGCTACTGATCTGAATCAGGGCCCCGTGAGCTCAAGAAACAACTTCCCTTGTAGCTGACGTGTGACCATCTCAGTCAAAGTCAGGTCAGGGAAATCCAGCCGCAATACGTTAGCCATCATCATAATGTGTCGTTCGGCCTTAACAAGCTGTTGTGTTGTTGGGCTTATTCCAGGTGGATTCCTAGAAGGCAGAGATCTTTAAAAAGCCCTGCAAGGGTGGTTTTTTTTCATTTTTGAGGGGTGTGCGTGGAATCTGGTATTGCAGTCCGTGACATTTGTTCAAATATGGGGAAATGAAGTCCTGAATAAACCAGTGAAAAACAGAAAACGAGGGAGGCAACTGAAGGTAGTGACAGGAGGTGAGGAGGGCCACATGCACAAAAAGTGGGGGAGGGTAAGAATCACAATTCTGCATTCAGAAAAGCTGGACTCTGTGGCAGGTACATGTTATGTCACTTTGCACGCACATCTTTGATTCTGCTTCAGCTGGTCAGTGAGCCATGCAGGGCAATGGAAGCTCCACCCCCAGATCACTTGAAAACCAGGGATGTGGGACGGGAAATTTTTCCAGAGAATCAGAAAAACTGGCTGGAATTTGCCAATTCTCCCCCCCCCCACGGAGTCGCAGCCAATTTATGGCGACCCCGCAGGGTTTTCACGGCAAGGGACGTTCGGAAGTGGTTTGCCCTCGCCTCCCTCTTTTTTTTTAAGCTGGTGAGTCGTGTGAGCAAAAAGTCTACTTTGTGAGCTGCTGGCATTAAAGCTGTGAGCGAGCCATTTGGCTACTGCATCAGTGGGTTTGCTCTGGAGCCCTCCTTCCTGAGCTAAGACAGAAATGTGTGAGCTGGAGGCTAAAAAACTGTGAGCTAGCTCACACCAACTCAGCTTAGAGGGAGCAATGGTCAGGACCCTGGACTTTCCCGGTGGTCTCTCATCCAAGTACTAACCGGGGCCGACCCTGCTTAGCTTCTGAGACCTGACAAGATTGGGTTCGCCTGGGCCGTCCAGGTCAGGGCAGAGACAAACAGGTGGTTTTGCCATCGCCTGCCTCTGCGTAGGGACCCTGGACTTCCTGGTGGTCTCCCCTCCAAGTAGAGACCAGGGCTGACCCTGCTTAGCTTTCGAGATCTGATGAGATCAGGCTAGCTTTGAGCTATCCAGGACACGGGAATCTGCCAATGGGGGCCGAAAATCAGCCAATTCCAACCAATCAGAAAAAACTTCCAGAAATTTCTCCAAGGCTGTATAATTTCCATTGAAAATTTTCTGCTGCACTTATGTAAATGACTATGTAGCTGTCCAGACTTAATGTGCTCTGCATACTGTCCTGCTAGACGGGCTCAATGTGGGGTGCAAGCAGGGAGACAAACCCCCAGATTCGTACGTGGTGGATGTGCATTCTTTTCCTAACCTTATTTTAATATGTACTTGATATGTTTAAATCTGAATGGGGGAATTTTCCAGGAATGTTTCTACTTCAGATTTCCCTCGAAAACCCACACTGCTGCTTGAGATCTGACTTGAGATTTCTCTGGCTTCGGAGATATTGCTAGAGATCATCTCCACACCTGCAAGGTTCTAATTATTGCAGCTCGAATGGCTACAGCATCCCCCCACCGTCTTTAATAAAAATCTAGGAATGGAGCCAGATGTAGACATAAAAGAGGACCTGCAGCTGGTTCCTCAGTGGTGACGTGAGCCAGGATTCCATCCAGCTTTGTGAATAATCTTACAGAAGGCCATGTCAGGAGAGTGAAATGCTCCCACACTGTGCTTCAGACAGGCTTCCTTCCTTCCCTCCCTCCCCATCTCCTCC